CTCCGCGCAAGGGGAATAATTGCACCGCGTTGTGTTGAAACGGTCAAGCACCCACGAGGCAGTTACACCGTGCTTACAACTGTCTCTGGAAGTGAAAGCACCAGAAAATAAATTAAGTCATACGCAGCTGTCATCCGTACGCAAGGAAGTAAGCACAAGATGCCGAAAACCCTTAGCAGGATGCAGCGCACCCTTCATGCGACTCGCCGAATATCTCACGGCGCTTCGCGCTTGGTGATGTGAGAGCCTGGTCCGGTGAGAACCCGGCGTGCTCCGTCCCGGCTTTGTAGGGATGCGAGGTCAATGGTCTAACGACTACGGCATGCACGACTATGAGTACTCCCCCCCCCACCCACCCCCACGCTTGGTCGCGGTAGTTCCTTTGGTTGCCTAACGTGTCAACCACTTCTCCTGCCTGCTCGCCCCCCCCCTCTCCCCGCTTGCGTATTTGTAGGTCGTGCGCGCTCCTCTGCAACTGCAACTCCACCAGAACGAGCTGTTCGAGAGAATTATTGCGGCCATGGATGACCCTAAGTTCGCCAGCAACCGCGCCAAGATGGGGGGGATCGCGCGGGACGTCGCCAACGCCAAGGGCAAGGGGGGCGATTCGTCAACGGATGACATCCGGCGGGAAGCGTGTGGGGAGCACGGTGTCCGGCGGCCGCTTGCCCTCGACCAGTTGCGCAAGCGCCCCCTCACCGACAGCGAGATGGGTTAAGGCGAGATCGAGGTCTTCGATCGGAAGAAGGACTCCAGGGGGCAGGTGAATTACGTGCATCATAGCTCCGTCGACCCCGCTCAATTGACATACTGGGTCGACACGCCAGAGGTCACCAACACAGGCCCATTGACACAACATCGATATACGTACACATACTCAGAAAAGCCAACGGGTGGCCATGTAACATTGTATAGGACGGTGAGTATTCGTAAAAAAAATCCTCGATGATGGAGTGGAATGTCGACCCGCAGTACCCGGATATCGAATCAAGCCTGACAAAAACGACAAGGGCACTGCAGCCGTCTCTCTCTCTCTTTACCTCTAGCACGGGAAACTACATCGTCGGACTAGAACGCAGGAGCTCTAGGGGACGAGCCTAGCTCGGTCAAGACCTGCTCAGACCCACTCGTACGACCGCGAAACCCGTCCCGTCAACGGCAACACTCGCTTTTTCGTAGAATGCACTTTGCCTCTGTAGAACCCAGCCCCTACGGGAGGTTCACGCAAACTCTTGGTTTTGCATCAATCGACACGACTAGCGAGCCAGCGACATGGTTCGGGGGACGCACGAGACTACAACACAACGAGGGCTCGCCTGCCCAGCTGATAGCCTACCGAACCCCCGTGGGATTTCGATCTGCACGACAACGCGGCAACCTAGTTGTTGTTGGGGTTCTTCTTCAGCCACTCTTTATACAAATCGTTGTGCTCCTTCACGATCTGACTCGCCTGCCACCCCGTCAGGAACACCACCCCCTCGTCGCCCTTGAGGGAACGACCAGTGTCGGCGTCCCCCTCCCACGGCGACAGGCCGCCCTTGTTGAGAGTCTTGACCTTGCCTGCGACCCGCCGGCGGATCATGTGATGCCTCAAGAGAGCGACTCACGCATCCGGGGCCGCGCCGGGTCGTAGGCCCGGGATCGCGAGCCCGTCCCACTCCTCGATGTACTCGCACCTCCCACACTCCTTGCCTGCTCCCTGCAAGCACCTCGCACGGGTGAAACCTGGGTTCAGCCCCTTGTTCTCTCTCGTCACGTGCTTACCTTCGCGTTCTGCCTTCCCCGAGTCGCCACTGCCAGTGCCCTCTTCCGTTCCCTTGTGGACTCCATCCTCGCCTTCGTTGTTCAAAGAGTCAGACGAGAGGTAGACAAAGCACGTAGGTTTTAGACAATAAAAATCGCCGCAATTAAGTAGCCATCAGATGAAATAATTCACTTCATTCTGAGAAAAAAGTGAGAACATCGGGGCTTCTGGGGGCCGTCAGGAAAAACTGGGGCCTTCATCATTTCTCACGTTTGGGCAAGACATTTCCACCAGAACAACCACAGTAGTAACTCCGACAACTTCCAACACACAGCAATCGGCGGAAACGACAACAATAGCAACATCAACAGTAACGGTGGTGGCAGCATTTAAAGACAATTGAAGAAATGAAGGGGGCGAGAATTTGCGCAGAGGGCTTTAGTTTTCAAAGGTTCAGATAGTCTTCGATCCGACAGAATACGCCAAGAACAACAGCAATTCCAGCAATATCTGCCGAATCGGAGGGGAATCGAATACACGTGACACAAGAGTAGATCGTGAGGGATGAAAAACATCCTCCTATACATACAACAGGACATCCATCGACACCACCCGCGAATATTCGGGCCGGCATGTACAATAGGGCGAAGGGGGGCACGTCTAGGTATCAACACATCCAATGGAGCAGGGAGCGGGGATGCCATGAGTACGTTGGGGCGGGGGTATCAACAACAACAACGAAGTGGGATTTTCGACCCAAGAAACAGCCGTGCCTCAACGCCCGCAGAAGAGTCTTCCCTCTTCTTCTGGACCAGTTTCGCCTCCTTCGCAGTGGGTGCCCGCTGCCTTTTCCACACCTCCTCATCGACCCCATATCGCCCTGACATACTATATTCGAGGATAGGCGGAATGAGTTCAACAAGTGAACTTCGCGGGAGGGTAGGAGAGACGGAGAATGGGTAGAGCAGAGGCTACAACGGGCACCATCGTGAGCATCATCATCATCATCATCATCGTCGTCGTCGTCGTCGACAAGAACATGGGGGCAACACCACCGCCCCGGTGGTCTAGTGGGTAGCCTCGCAGCCCGCTAAGGGCCAGGTCATGGGTTCGAGTCCCGACAAAGTGCATTTTTTCTGGTCTCCGTTGGAAGCGACGCGCTGCAAAGCTCGTAGTTAGTCAACTTGATCGACTTCATAAGTCGCGAGGGAAGGGATTGCTGTACCCTTCTCGCGATAAATATATCTCAGGCAGGAACAGCAGGAGGGGGTCCAACCCCCCCCTCCCATGTGACCCCGGTTGGGTCGTCCAGCTGGTAGAAGTGGAGGATAGGGGCCAGACGGGCAGACGACAGAGTCCAATGATGGGAAAAAAACAAACAAAAAACACCACCACCACTACCACCGCCAACAAGAGCAAATGTACGAATTCAACGAAGACACACGATTCCGCAAAATTACCTTCACGTGACCGCTGGTCGTCGTTGAATGTCCCCCCGACCTTTTGGTTGAGTGCGATGGACTCCGGGCATCATACCAGCCCCCCGAGGAAGACGAGGGCAAGAACCGCATCTTGTAGCTCCCTCGACGATCTGTGGGGGTCACCCGTCCTCCACACATAGGTCTCGGTTCCCACCTCATTGATGGCGTCCACGCCGACCAGCACTAGTCCCGCCGGGACGTTCCACGCGGGGCCGTCGTTCGCCACGCGGCCGTTCACCTGACGAGGCTCTCTCGCGCGGACTGCTGTTGGCGGCTGCTGCAGCCCCCTGGCATACTTGTGGGCTGAAGCAGACAGCCCCTCGCCGGAGATCAGCAGGCGCAGCGCACCACTGCCCCAGTCGTGCCGGTTGACTTTGGCCCGGACCGACCCGCAAAGGGCAGACCCGACGCCCTTCTCCGACCCCTCGACCATGGCAAGCGTTGTTTCCTTGCACAAAAACTCGTAGGCCTGTGCTTTCGTTACCCTCGAAACATTGATGTCGGCATTTGTGTAGATGGTGTGTTGTGGGTTCATAGTTGGCAGTCAAGACGAGCTCTGTTGTCTTGGAACGAGATTTTGTTTGATGTCGATCACGTGCGCAAGTGCACGGGGTGTATATACTGGTATCCCGGGGGAAGTCGTTGCAGTCGACTACGTGTTGGTCTGTCACGGGGTGTCGTATAACGAAGGTTTGTTTGGTGCGTTGAGCTGCTGTGCCACCGACAGCGCCACAAAACATCCTCCTTGGAAATGTTCCGCGCACATTCCGCGTCGTGGGTTTTCGCGGAGGGGAACGTTTTAGAGAATGCCACCGAACTTGGCTTTGATTGGATGAATGGCAAGTTTGGCAGGGTGTATATGTATATATGATGTTGGGGAACGTATAAACCCTTTCGTCGTGTGAACCGATTGGTCGAGTTTTTTTTGGCATTTCGAAGAATGTGTGTGGATTTTCAGAATGCAAGATATCGTTTTGGGCCTTGAGAGGTCGCGACAACGATAAGATGGCTGATGCGAGGGAGCAATGAGCAAATACGCGCCGCCTTTTCCAATAAATCTTCGTGTATTTCGATGATGTTGTGTTCAAAAATGTGTTTTCCCCTCGGATCCGCGCACGATGTTATTTGGGCTAAAAAATGGCAACACAACACTGATCGTGATCAGGGGCCAGGTAACGTCACCGTGTGACATCCCCCACACACACACCCACACCCAGGGAGGTGCTGATTCTGTTATCATCATTGTATGTATCTGGGTGGGCAGGATTGTTCTAGATGGACAGCTACCAAACCCGCACTTGGTCACTTCCTGTCGGGCCCATATCAAGTTAAATGTATTTTCAAAGATATTAACTAATTTTCAGGTCGTACACTTGTCAATGCTATTGTTACACCATTCAATTGGTGTGAGTTATTGGTATCAACCGGTACAATCACCCACCCACTGCCTGCAATGACGGTCTTCAATCCCCTCCACCTTAATAACTGAACTCTTACGCTGCAACGTTGGCGACAAATGACCCACAGCTACCGCCACCCACCCTACCAAACCCACATCATGTCCTTTGAATACCCGACAGGAAATCGCGGAATGCAGCACTTTAAGATCACCAATCATGATGTTGACTGACTTGCTGTAACGTTGATTTATTTCTGCGGCCGTGAGACAGGAGGTGTCTTTCATGCCGCGCAACCTTGTGAGACCTTCGATGAAGTGGTCGTACTCACACAACAACAGGACCCGGGTCAAAGCTCCCATCTTGACCTCTGATTCACAGGGGCCACATGTGCCTGGTGAAAGTCAGTGTTCCCAGCAAGCTCCGCTAGACCTCTGCCGGACGCAAACGACAACGCGCAAGCAAGTTCAAAGTAATTCGGGCGTGCGTATCTGATGATGTCACGCACCGCAGGAGGAAGGTGGGGCATGAAAAGGAATAAAAAGAAGTAAAAAGCCCTGGTGTTTACCCCCTCCTGTGACCCTGGATGGTTGTAGTTGTACGAAAAAATACACTGAAGAGTGTAGTACTCTACATACTACGCTGAGGGGTGTAGTACATGTCTCACCACGGAAAATGGGGGGACTGTCGCCATAATAAATAGGACGAAAACACACAACACACATCTGATGATGGACTCCATGGTGTCGATGAGATCGCTCGCGTGCACCGTTAATCCACGTCTGCACTTGAACTCCAAGGACTCCTTGTTGGTAAACCCTTGGCTCTTGGAGAAAGATGTTGTATTATTGAGAAACTGCCCTCTGAGACAGGTAGGCAAAGTGGAGTGACAGCGTGTGGGGGCTAGCTCGTGTGCTCCCAGCACCCCAGCCAACGATCAACACGCCAACACAAACACTATCGGAACAATATACTACTCGCAACGTTCCAACAACGTAATGTTCCGATCCCTACAACCGAACTAGAACAATTCCTGTTGAGGGTAATCATCCCACGTGCCACATCCATGCAACGTCCACACAACGTGCACCTAACGTGCACCTAACGTGCACCCTACTGACTATCTGCTGATCCAACTCCGAACAGTATAACTTCCACAAGGAACTTTCTCTGGAACTACACAGACAGACAGTTCTGATATTCAAACCATCCAATCAGATGATCTACAGCAGCAGTTCAACCGATACACACTGCCGCTACATCACCAATACCCTCCCTAGGGGCTGTTGTATCTTACCAGACCCATAACATGTAGTTTGTCAAACAAAAACGTTTCTTCAGACTCCTACTTCCTAGAGCCCAACGCAAAGTCACGGTGAACTTCAAAAATACTCCTCGGCAGAGCCTTCGTGAGGATGTCCGCATGTTGTTTTTCGCTGGGAACATGGGTGATCTCGATCACACCCTCCTCGGTTAAATTCCTAAGAAAGTGGTGCCTCACATCGATGTGCTTACTCCTGCACGAGCTAAGCGGATTCTCTGCGAGCGCAATCGCTCCCTCGTTGTCCTCAAGGACGTCAATCTTACGAGGCTCTACACTAGGCCTCAAGAACTGAAGCATTCCGTTCACAAACAGAGACTCCTTCACACCATCGCCCATCGCAAGATACTCTGCCTCAGAAGTCGACTGTGAAACACATTTCTGCGTCCAAGAAAGCCAAGCTACAAGACAAGCAGCTACGATGACTAGTGCTCCCGAAACTGATCTACGGTCAGTGGCCTTGCTGGCAAAGTCTGCATCTACATACACCAACGTGCCTACGTCATCAACCGTACTGTCTCTCTTGTACTTCAGAGTTAGATGTGCCGTTGCCAGAAGATAATTCAGAATCTTCTGAGCTGCCTTCCAGTCTCTCTTCTTTGGCTCATGAGAGTGCCTCGCCACCGCCCGCACGGCATTCGAGATGTCGGGCCTTGTCCCGTTGGCGACCCACATCAGGCACCCCACCACCTCTCGGAACGGCACATCTCCTGCCTCCTCATCCTCCATCACGGACCTGTTATCATTAGCAGGGGAAGCAGGGATCGAGCTGGTGCGACAGATTTTGAATCTCTCAAGCACACTCCTTATGTAACTCTCCTGAGAAATCTCAATCGTGCCAGCCTCGCGGTCGCGAATAAAAGCGCAACCAAGAAAGAACTTGACCTCTCCCAAATTCTTCGTAGGAAGAGAATCGCCTAGTGCCTCTACGACCACCTTGGCAAGACTCTTAGTTCCTGCATACAGAATGTCATCCACGTGAATCGCGACCATCCCCAATACCTCGTCTCCCATCATGAAACGCAGCACACAGGGGTCAGACAGAGACTGCTCGAAACCAATCCTCTTCAGATCCGACACAAGCCTCTTGTAAAATGTCCTAGATGCCTGTTTCAATCCGTACAAACTCTTGTTCAGACGGACAACCTTTCCTGACATCGAACCACAGCCAGGAGGCAACTTCATGAACACCTCGTGATCCAACTTCGACTGAACAAACGCTTGCTCAATATCCCAGTGGAGTAATTCCAAATCATACTTGCACGCCAATGCTACCAACAATCGAATTGATGCAGCATTTGCAGTAGGCGAGAAAGTCTCAAGATAGTCTACACCATACTTCTGCCTGAAGCCCTTCGCGACAAGCCTAGCCTTGGCCTTCACTATCTTCCCTGTTTCGTCTGCTTTCCATTTGAACACCCATCTAGCATCTATCACGTTACAGCCTATTGGGATCTTTACCGCTAACGTGAAAGTTCCTGCCCTTATCAAGCCTTCAACTTCTGCAGACATAGCTCCATCCCAAATCGCGGCGTGCTTCGATTGCCGGGCTTCCTGATAGCTACCAGGTTCAGACTCTACGTCCTGAACTAGTTCTTTTGGCAATTCCACTGCATCACCTGCTCTCTGCTCCGCCAACAATGAATTTATTATTTCTGTTGCGAAGACGGGCCCTAGGGTGGCCACGAGGCCTGGCACGCTCTGCTGATTAACTGCACGGGTTTGCGCGCGAGTTCTACCTTCTCTTACTTCATCATTCTCACGCGCAGGGTTGTTGAAATCAGCTAGCTCAGCTACATGCCGCGGACGACGAGCAACTGGAGGAGATGCCTCTGCCTCTACCTCCTGCCCTCCCGGCCCTACAGGATCTGTTTCCTGATCTCCCGGACCCATCGACTCTATTTCCCCCACATCTTGCCCTCCCTGCCCATCACCATCGGTGAACTCAGGTGCTGGAGAAGACACAGAGGGAACGGGCGAAGATGGCACAGAAGGGGGAGACGGCGATCGACCTACACTGCCTGCGTCAACACTTTCAACCACATCAATTGCTTCACCAGAGGGGACCACTGCCGCGTTATTTCGCAACAGTGTGTGGGCAACTCCCCTCCCTACAAGCGGCCATACCTCAGTTTCTACATCGTTGTCACTTTCCTCCCCTCCCTCCTCCGCAATCTCTATCGGCAATGGAGGTTGCGGTGGAGGGAGTTGTGACGGCAAGGCCTCCCACGTTACATCCCTCGTTTCCTGAATAGTCCCAGCCCTCGTAAGTACTCGATGACAATCACGCGGGTGGTCTCTCGAAGGACCGACATAAAAGCAACTCTCACCCTTCGGGAAAAGTTTCGACGGTCGCTGCCACTTGCAGTACGCCGGTTTCAAAAACGGATAAGGTCTAGCAGGACGGGCTTCCCCATACCACATTTCATACGGCGATTTAGAGTCGGGGTTAGCAGAACAAGCCGTGTGATTAAGTGCCTCGCAAGCCCAGTGCATCGCCTCAGCCCAGAGTTTGTCAGTCTTAGGTAACTGCACATGCCCAAAAAGAACTTTCGCCTGAATACGAGCCGCCATTGCGGCCTCCTCTATCAATCCCAAGCCACGCTCTGCAACACCGTTGTATTGAGGACTATGAGCTGGGGTGAACTCTTGCTTAATCAAGAGCTCATTGCACACAGATGCAAATTCTCCACCGAAAAACTCCCCTCCATTGTCAGATCTAACAGTCTCAACCAATGATGGGATTCCATCAGCACGCACACTAGCAAGAAAACTCCGGAAAGCACTCGCAGCGTCTGATTTATTTCTCAGAAAATAGATCCATGCACGCCTTGTGAAATCATCCTTCACAATCATGGGGTAATACTTCCCCCCGACAGACACAACGGCCTTCTTCCCTCCCAGGTCAACAAAAACTCTCCCTAACTTTTTATCTGATCTACGTTTAGTTTCACGAGCAATCCCTTTTCTAATTGCCTTTGACATCGAACATCCCGTACAAGCATCCAGGCTACCAGTCAACTCGGTACCCAATCGCTTTGCAGTAGTACGAAGCAATCCTTCATGTGCGTGAGCATAAATGTTATGAAAGTCGTTCACATCCATACTCGTTTCGTGCTTGGGGTTTGAAGGAGTGAGGGCAGCCAACACCGTTCCAATAGAGTCATTTCCCAGACGATACGCAGTCGCGACAAGCATGCCATCGATATTTTCAAAAGTCACATGTCCTTGAAAAGCAGTCATCACACCACGAGGACCACCAAGATCATTCCATGACTCTCCATCAAATTCTGCGCTGGGGGAGAAAAGGTTGTATCCCAAATTGGGAACGTACAGCACATCCTCCAACTCTACCAAAAACTCGTTGTCAACAGACACGAACACCAATTCTAGGGTTCCTGAAAGGGCTACCTCACAAGTCACACCACCAATCCCTTTTACGTTCTTGTGACAAGGTTTCACGTCCTTCATGCAGGCGAGCGAGTCTGTCATGTGGAAAGCAGTACCCGTGTCCGCATACCAATCCTCGATGCACCCAACCTTCTTAGTAAGAGTAGAGTATTCACGAAGAGAATCACGGATAACACGATCACTGCCGACCCAATCCCGACACGTATCTGCCGCTTCACCGCACAACGATTCAAAATCGTAAAGAGGATTAGCTCTACGAGATTTTTCCAGCCAACGCAGCAATAAAGAGCTATGATACGATGCAATCTTGGCATCACTCCAATCGTTCGAGTCGGTTAGAGACAGCCACCACACCAAGTCAGACTTCTCACCGTTTTCATCCTTGGCGTCCTCGGATGATCCGGTCTGGGAGGGATGAGGAATCACACGAGCCAGGCAGTCCTTTTTCACGTGACCCACCTCCCTACACTTGAAACACTTCCCCTGAAACGTCTTTTTCTTGTTTGAATCGGGTTCGGGGTTAGACTTGGACTTGTGGTTCGGCTTCCTCACATTCTTCTTCTCAGCCCTAGACACAAGAGCAACACTGTGTTTCTTCGGACCACCTTGAGTCTGCAAATCGAGGTACCGTTCACGCACTTTAGTCTCTATGAACGACGGGTCATTCGAGCAAAATACCACCAGAGTTTCACGAAGAGTCTGGTACTCAACAGAAAGTCCCTCGAGCATCAGGCTACAGATCTCCCTGTCATCCTTCTTGACTTCAAGCATTTGCAGCACACCAAGCGTTTCACGAATAGACGTGAAGAAGATTGCGGGATTTTCGTTTGAACGCATGCGCAGTGACTTTAGTCTCTCTTCTTGAACGCGAATCTGGCTCTGACTCAACGGCAGAAAATGATCTTTCAGTACTCGGAAACCCTTGCTGGAGGAACCAGCGTGACGAACCATTGTTTTCAGACTATCTTTCTTTAAACAGTCGAAAAGAAACCACCAGCCCATTTCAGCCTGGCGAAGCACACCCACACTGAAGCCTTTCTCGACCCAGGGGGTCAAATCAAAACTAATGTCAGCAATCGGGATTTCAGTCTCAGAAACAAACGCTTCAATCAGATTGTGGTGCCGGGCACTCAGCAGAAAGTTCTGCGACCATGAGGGGTACGACATATCTGTCCAGTCAAAAACAGGAGCCTTGGGAACTTTAAAAGGACCCCCACCCAATTTCTCTCCTGCATCAGTGCCAGCCCCAGGAATCAGTGTGTTTCCACTGGCGACACTTTCCCACCACCTGCTCGACGGAGTAGGTGCGGGAGGAACAGAGGACTGGCTACGAAAAGCCCCACCTACAGTCCCGGAAACGAAAGAAGACTGGCCTACAGCAGCCCCACTTCCAATTCCAATCGAACCAAAGCTTGCAGCACCAGCAGAGGAACGATTAACAGCGAATACATCAGGGTTCAAGCCTGAGCCAACAAGGCTACTACTCCCAACCCCCATGCTGGACACGCCAAGGCCTTGGGCATCGCCGCCCGTGCCTCCCGCGGTCCTGCCGGTAGCATCATCGGAAGAATGCGTACCACCAGCATACTCTGTTCCGCCGCCTCCCGGCGCGGCAGCCGACACAGAGGACTCCACTTGCTCCTTCTGTTGATCAACAAGCGACGTGACTAGAGTCGTAAGTTGGGACAACTGCGTCTCTAGGGAACCCATCCTCTCACCAACATCCTGCGGATTACCCTGACTTTGGCCACCCGCAGGTGTCCCCGGTTCAGCCATGATGAGACAGGTTGATCAGGCCTTTCTCGTACAGCAGTCTAGTGCAGTCCTAGGGGACGACGGAGCAGTAGACACCAACGCTATAGCGTGTTGGTAAACCCTTGGCTCTTGGAGAAAGATGTTGTATTATTGAGAAACTGCCCTCTGAGACAGGTAGGCAAAGTGGAGTGACAGCGTGTGGGGGCTAGCTCGTGTGCTCCCAGCACCCCAGCCAACGATCAACACGCCAACACAAACACTATCGGAACAATATACTACTCGCAACGTTCCAACAACGTAATGTTCCGATCCCTACAACCGAACTAGAACAATTCCTGTTGAGGGTAATCATCCCACGTGCCACATCCATGCAACGTCCACACAACGTGCACCTAACGTGCACCTAACGTGCACCCTACTGACTATCTGCTGATCCAACTCCGAACAGTATAACTTCCACAAGGAACTTTCTCTGGAACTACACAGACAGACAGTTCTGATATTCAAAACATCCAATCAGATGATCTACAGCAGCAGTTCAACCGATACACACTGCCGCTACATCACCAATACTCCTGGCGTTCTATTCTCGGCATGCTTTTCTCCTCCGGCGTGAGCTCTAACCGGGAGACGTAGGGCAGTAGCAAGCGCACCTTCCTAAAGAGGTCGTCATTATCGGCGAGTCCTGTGAAATCCACCTTCCGCGAGTGTATCGCGCGCCGGGCCGACTACTTTCAGGGAAGGTCTAATTTCCCGAATGACACAACGCGATCCCAGGCCGTCTGTAGCTGTTTCAGGTATCCCTTCCGCATCTTCGCCTTCTTTGCCGTGGATGTCTTCTTCTTGATAAGGACGAGCAATTGCCGGATTTCTATGTTGACGGGACCTGCGTTGTGCCCGGCGCCGAATTTTGTATCCACACTTCCCAAACCCTTGCGAAGTTCTTGTTTGAAGAGCCAGGGTGTAGCTTCCTCAGAACCTCTAGAACTCTCGTGTTCCTCCAAGGATTCTCGTGTTCCTCCAACTATTTGGCGCACATTGAGATCTTTTTGTCCATTTTGAACACTATAACAACGACACACATAATATCCTCCATATTTCCTTACAATAGGGCTACCTCTCATCCTTCCCACTACCATCTACTTTCTTCTTTTTTGTGCGCCCTCTGCTCAGGCTACCACGAGCGCGATTGCACCTTAGGCACTTCACGTCCACATTTTCCGCCGTGTTGGGCAGCGAGCAGTCGAGGCGATCGAGCATTGGGTGCCGTTCACTGAAAATGGCCCAGATAATCTCACAGGTGCATAGGTTGCATCTACCTCCGTAAGAGTTCAGGAGTTCTTGAACAAGGGCTTCTCTGTGCCTTCCACCCTCTTCTGGTCCAAGACGCCCGGCCGTAACGTCGGCATAGACGTAGCTCGAGACCTTCCTAGAAACCCACGATGTCCTCACCCGACCGGGCATGTCGCTCTCGCTGCGATGAATGTCGTCTATGACCCTGACGTTTGAGGGTCCTGTCGCTCGACTGACCGCCGTATACAGCCAGTGCACCTCGGCGTGAGGATGCCGGGCTTGGTGGATGATCAACGTTCCCTCGACCTTTCGACCCTGGACCGCGTGTACTGTACATGACCCCGGGGGGTCAAACAAGTTTCCTGTCTCTACTCGACAGAGTGACGTCTCCTCCAGACTGACGGCCCCGTCAAAAGCGCTTGCGACAACGACCTCATCTGCTGAGGATCGGATGATGTTGTAGGTGTGATTCTTGTGGACCCTGCCCAGGTTCCCGAGGTCCCGGTATTGAGCACCTACAACTGTTTGACGCCCCAGCCCATCCCAGCCACCGGCTTCGTCGCACCCCAGCAACCCTCGAAAGGCGTGGAATCGAGCACAGTCTGTAGTGTAAGCGAGGTGAAAAATTGAAGGGCTGGGGTCGCTAGCCGTTGGGAATTCACCACCAAACCTCTCAATGGCTTGAGTTTGCGCCTCGTGACTGTCGTCTCCTGCAGCCAGAATGTACAAGAGGCCGTCATCCATCTCCACCTGTTCTTCGACAATTTTATCCCGCTTGCGCGCGAAGACGTGAAAGCATATGGGGAAGGATTTTTCGAGGATGACGCTCCTGTCGACGTTGTCCTTGCTAATTGACATGCCGCTGCTATCGCACACGGGTTGGAGTTGGTGCGTGTCGTATGTCCCTATCACGTGGGTGCCGCTGCTATGAGCAGCAGCCAGAATCATGCTTAAGTTCCGGAGAGGCGTATAAGCAGCTTCTTCGATGATGATTTCGTCAACCTTGAGCGTTCGTATCGACCTCGTCGTTTTCCTCCCGTGAGAACCATCCCCCAGGTAGAAACCGAGCTGGTGATCGGCGGTCTTTACACTCCACCCGCATGGCATGTCTATGAAGAACGTTCTCAGACTATTGGTGGGGGTTAAGACGAGCCCAGTTTTGAAGATGGCCGTTGCAGCACGGGTAGCGCAGTAACTCTTCCCCGCCCCCCCGTGTTCTCCCGTCACCGCACACACAAGCCTTGAACCTTGTTGGAGCATGTGGGCGCGGATTAACTTTCTAGTTTTGATGGCGACTCGGCCCCGCATATCTCCGGCCACAGGTTGCGCTTGGCGTTCTTCTCGAGAGAACGCCAGGCGTCGTGAACATGTTCCATCGAACTGAAGCTTTCATCGATGCCATCCCACAGAGGAATGACCCGCAGACGGTGTTACGGTGGGCAAGGAATTCGCCTCATTGCTCGAGGTAACGCGTCTAGCGATATATTGGCTTTGATGCCACCGAACACCCGCCTCTCATCATACAGCGGATTCTTCAAGGCTGGTTCGAACTTAGAGTGCCGGGAGTTTTTGTTTCGTCGCCTTTAAACAAATCCCTGAAGCGAAGTCTCATCTTCTCTTGCACCGACGAAGATCCCCTGAAGAATACCGCGTCACACTGGTAGCTAAAGCCAGACGCGCCGCAAGATTCGAGAGCGTTCCTCGCCTCCAACACTCGCAATCGAGTTTCGTCAAGAATGAGCGCACCCAACGCCCAGAAACCATCTCTGTACCATGTTCGTTCCGCATCCAAACAAAGGTATGCATCACCGGTGCGAAGTGACTCGATCCCAAGCTTCTCCTGTCCCGTCCGAAGTTCAGCCTTCACGCGATCGACCTCTCCTAGGACAGGCACAATTATGCCGCCCACAGCGAAAGCCTCGTCACAGCCCGTAACCATGACAGTGTCTATCCTGTCTGCGTATCTCTGCTGCAACATGCCACTGGCCCGCACGAATATCCCTTTTTCGAATTTGCGGGCACAGTCTGCATCCTGTAGGGGATCACCCAACTCATGCGCGAGCAGGTCTTTCGCCAGGGTGGGTATGTGACACATGCTGACTATCCTCGACGGCCGCACGAAGTGGGTACCTCTATGGCGAGNTCCTAGGACAGGCACAATTATGCCGCCCACAGCGAAAGCCTCGTCACAGCCCGTAACCATGACAGTGTCTATCCTGTCTGCGTATCTCTGCTGCAACATGCCACTGGCCCGCACGAATATTCCTTTTTCGAATTTGCGGGCACAGTCTGCATCCTGTAGGGGATCACCCAACTCATGCGCGAGCAGGTCTTTCGCCAGGGTGGGTATGTGACACATGCTGACTATCCTCGACGGCCGCACGAAGTGGGTACCTCTATGGCGAGCAACAGTGTCGACGAGATCGAATTAACGCTTGTAGTTTCGGCCGAAGACTCGTGTCACATCCGCGTCAAAGAATGCGTCGGGTTTGCCGAGTGCATCCAGTTCTATACTGTACAGGGTCCAATCCTCAATGTCGTGGTCATCGTACTCCTCCACCTCATCCACGTGGCCGAAAACGGGTACTACCTCCATGCTCATAAGGACCGCAGTGTGTGCCCCATTGATGTCACACTGCCAATCTTCCGGCCCGTAAAAAGTCCCCGACACTTCCTCGGCACCGGCGATTGGTCCCCGCCAGCATACCTCGAGAAGGGCGAGGAGGGACTGGCTATACTGGCTCGACACTCTCAAGTCTAATACGCCGTGGTGAAACCTCAGACCCAGCTCATTGTGCAGCTCGATCAATCTTGTCGCTTGGTCGGGCNCTGCCAATCTTCCGACCCTAACCCTAACCCTAACCCCGACACTTCCTCGGCGCCGACGATTGGTCCCCGCCAGCATACCTCGAGAAGGGCGAGGAGGGACTGGCTATACTGGCTCGACACTCTCAAGTCTAATACGCCGTGGTGAAACCTCAGACCCAGCTCATTGTGCAGCTCGATCAATCTTGTCGCTTGGTCGGGCTCGAACTCACCAGGATCGAGTCCGCCCATGCTCGCGCTGCACCACGTTCGGATGGTTCTACCGTGTGCCGGCACCGACAGGGAGTCCTAGTGGCTGAAGCTGGAAATTCTACCCCTGCAGAGACTCGAACGAGGTGCAAGTGGAGCATCAGCTCGTCGAGAGCCGTTCCCGGCGGCGCGTGCCACATGTTGAACTCTGATGTTGTTTTTCCACGCTTCCGCTTTTTCCGTGCTGCCTGTTGGTGGCCGTTCTCCACCTCTGATTGGTTGATGGCCACGAGATCGCTCACAATATCAGCGACACACGAAAAGGCCTTGCTTCCGCACTCAGTGGTGTCCGGTTCCTCTTTCTCTTCGATCGCCTCGGCAGTCCGACGGAATCTACGCTGGGTTCTGACACTATGCTCGATGGCCACGTCCAAAGGTGATCCAAACCTGTCCCTCCAGGGCCCGTCGAGCTCCGACCGGTAAACGTGTCCCTCACGAACTCCAACGTGTAATGCTCGCGGTCGGAGGTCTGTTTTCTTGTCCATTGGCCCGAGAACATGATCACCAGAGCCCCTGTGTGACCACACGACGCAGTGTATGTTGGTAAACTCGTGGCTTCTGGGGAAAATATGTTTTATTGTTGAGACCTTGGACAAGGAGAACAGGTCAAAAGGTGAAGTGAGCAAGGGTGGGGAGCACCACAGCACCGCAGCACCGCAGCCACCACCCGTGTCGCTCGACCAACGCACAAAAGCAGAACACAATGATATTGGAACACAAAGACTCAACAGACAGGGGCTAACGTACATCACAACGTACCATGAACCCTCTGACTGATGCACTATCCACAAGAAACACACTCGGGGTAATGCACCATCCACGAAGAACATTCCCACAGAACGTTCCTTGCTGTTCTGATAATATGTGGCTACTCAACGATCTTCAACGCAGACACTCCCGCAATGCAACTGTCCAATCAAGTTGTTCTACGTCACTCTGTCGACACACACAGCAGCAACTATCACGAACACCCTCCCTTGGGGCTGTTGTCTCGACCAGATCAAATATATATCAGAACAACAACAACCAAAATAAAACACAACTCAGGTCTGTAGACTACTTCTCAGAAATCAAACCTAGAGCAAAATTACGATGAACTTCAAAAAGATCTCTCGGCAGAGCCTCGTCAGGATGTCCGCATGCTGTCCTTCGCTAGAGACATGCCTGATTTCCAACACTCCCTCCTCTGTCAAATTTCTGAAAAAGTGGTGCCTCACGTCAATGTGCTTACTGTTACACGAACTGAGTTGATTCTCAGCAAGTGCAATCACACCCTCGTTGTTCTCTAGTACCTAAATCTTACCGATTCTATCACTAGGCCTCAAGAACTCGAGCATTCCGTTGACAAACAGAGCCTCTTTTACACCGTCACCCATCGCAACATGCTCTGCTTCAGTTGTTGAAAGTGTGACACATTTCTGCGTCCTAGAAATCTAAGCAACAAGACAGTCAGCTACAAGAACTAATGCTCCCGAAACTGATCTACGGCCAGTGGCCTTACTGGCGAAGTCTGCGTCTACGTACACCAACGTACCTACGTCTACCATAGTGTCCTGCTTGTCCTTCAAAACTTAATGTGCCGTCTCCAGAAGATAATTCAGAATCTTCTGGGCCGCCTTCCAGTGGCTTTTCTTTGGCTCGTGAGAGTGCCTCGCCACCGCCCGCACAGCATTTGAGATGTCGGGCCTCGTCTGGTTGGCGACCCACATCAGGCTCCCCACCACCTCTCGGAACGGCACATCCCCTGCCTCCTGCTCCATCACTGACCTGTAAACACTAGCAGGGGGAGCAGGGTCGAGCTGGTGCGACAAATATTGAATATCTCGAGAACACTCCTGACGCAACGTTCTTGAGACATCTCAATCTTGGTAGCCTCGCGGTCGCGACTAAATGCGCAACCATGAAAGAAATTGACCTCGCCAAAATTCTTCGTGTGAAAAGAGTCACCTAGCGCTTGCACAACTATCTTGGCAAGACTCTCAATTCCTCCATCCAGAAAGTCATCCACATGAATCGCGATCATACCCATCACCTCGTTTCTCATCATGAAACGCAGAACACACGGGTCAGATGGAGATTGTTCGACACTAATCCTCTTCAGGTCCGACACAAATCTCTTGAGAAATGTTCTACATGCCTGCCTGAGTCCATCCAAACTCTTGTCTAAACGGACGACCTTTCCTGACATCGACTCGCAGCCAGGAGGCAACTTCGTGAACACCTCATGATCCAATTCCGACTGAACAAACGCTTGCTCAATGTCAAAGTGGAGAAATTCCAAATCATACTTGCACGCCAATGCTACCAACAAACGAATTGATGCAGCATTTGCAGTAGGCGAGAAAGTCTCAAGATAATCCACACAATTCTTCTGCTTGACGCCCTTCGCTACAAGCCTAGCCTTGGCCTTCACTATCTTGCCTGTTTTGTCTGCTCTCCATGTATAGACCCATCTAGCATCTATCACGTTACAGCCCATCGGGGCCTTTACTGCTAACGCGAACATTCCTGCTCTTAACAAGCCTTCAAACTCTGTAGACATGGATTTGTCCCAAATCACGGTATGCTTTAACTGGCGGGCTTCTCGGTAGCTACCAGGCTCTGTCTCTACATCCTGAATGAGCTCTCTCGGCAGTTCCATAGTGTCAGACGCTCTCTGCTCCACTGAGAGTGCTTCTACAATTTCAGATGCGGAAATAGGTCCTCGAGTGGCCATGAGACCGGATACGCTCTGCTGGTTTACGGCCCGAGTTTGCGCACGGGTTCTGCCACTTTTAAGTTCAAAGTTATCATTTGCAGCAGTGTTGTAACTAACAAGCTCATGCCGCGCACGACGATTAGATGGTACGTACGTAGCGGGGAAAATGACTCCGATTCTACCTCCTGCCCTCCCGGACCCGCCGATTCTGCCTCCCCTGTCTCCGGCCCTTCCTGCTTTCCCTCATCGGTGAACTCATCCGCTGGAGAAGACACAGGGGGAGCTTCGCTACTAGGGGAATTAATCGCGGGCGAAG